CCATCACATACAAAATTTTAGGTTCTGTGGGATGAGAATCAGTGAAAGGCCAAGAATATGTGCCCTAGAATATGCCTGGGTTAGCCAAGAGAATTTAGTGAGATCTGGTAGACAGTAGAGGGACCTCTGAGTCTCTAAAGATAGGCTGTTCCTGGGTGAGAAAGTAGGGGTAGGCACCACAGAGGCAGAGGAAAACCCCAAATGTGGGGCTCGACTAGAACTTGTGGGCCTTCAAGAATGGAAGGAGAAATAATATTGAAAGTGCTGTCCTTGGGGACCTAATGTCTAGAAAAGGGAGAGGAAAACTCTCTTAAGTAGGCTGCAGGTACCATCAATTTACAAGTCGTGAAGTAGTACATCTGGTAGATGTACCTTATATGTTTTAGTCATTCTCTTTTTGGTAATTTCTTCTAAATTTTGTTATTATAAAAATATTTCTTCAAACATCTTGGAGCACATAGCTTTGCCCTAATTTAGGATTATTTCCCTGAAATTGATTCCCAAAAGAGAAAATTCCTGGGTCAAAAGGCTGGACATTATTTAAGCTTTTGATGCATACTGCCAAATTGCTTTCCAAAAGAAAGATTTTTAGCAAGTCATTTTTCCACCAGAAATACTGAAGTACCCATTGCTCACACTAACATCAGCTATAAATGGTTTCTTCTTTTAATTTGTACTTCCTTGACTACTTTCAAGGTAGAGAATATTCCATGTTCATTGTGTTTCATCTGTCTCCTTTGACCATTTGTTGGGTTCTTAGTTATCAATTTTGTATATTCTTTACATAATAGAAATATTAACCCATTGTCACTAAAACATTTCCTCAGTCTGAAGTTTGCCTTTTACTGTTAGCTATGATCTTGGAATAAGGTAGAGTTTTGGGTTTGTTTCCAACAACAGAAGTTAAGAATGTTTTTATAATTGTGATGCAACCGACAAGGGCTTAATTTCCAAAATATACAAATAGCTTATGCAACTCAACAACAAAAAACAATCTAATCAAAAAATGAGCAGAAGAGCTAAATAGACATTTTCCCAAAAAAGAAATACAAATGGTCAACTGGCACATGAAAAGATGCTCAACATCTCTTATTATTAGAGAAATACAATCAAAACTACAAGGTACCACCTCACTCCGGTCAGAATGGCCATCATTAAAACTCTAAAATAACAAATTTTGGAGAGGATGTGGACAAAAGTGAACCTCCAAGATAAGCTGGTACAGCCACTATGGAAAAAAATATGGAGGTTCCTCAGAAAACTAAAAATAGAATTACCGTAAGATGCAGAAATTCCACTCCTGAGCATATATCCAGATGAAAAGCTAATCCAAAAAGATACATGCACCCTTATGTCACCATTCACAATAGCCAAGACATGCAAACAATCTAAATGTCCAACTACAGGTGAATGGATAAAGAAGACATGGTACATATATACAATGGAATACTACTCAGCCATAAAAAAGAACAAAATAATGCCATTTGCAGCAACATGGATGCAGCTAGAGATTATTACAGTAAGTTAATTAAGACCAAGAAAGACAAATATGGTATCACTTATATGTAGAATCTAAAATATAACACAGGGAATTTCCTGGTCATTCCATGGTCCAATGGTTAGGAACTGGTACTTTCACTGCTGTGGCTCAGGTTCAAACCCTGGTCGGGGACTAAAATCATGCAAACTGTGCCACAGCACAGCCAATAAATAAATAAATAAAATATGACACAAATGAACCTATCTATGAAACAGAAACAGATTCACGGACACAGGGTACAGATGTGGTTGCCAAGGGGAAGGCAGGGAGGGGAGGGGTGGAGTGGAGAAGGCAGGGAGGGGAGGGGTGGAGTGGAGGATGGGGTTAGCAGATGTAAGTTATTATATATGGAATGGATAAACAGCAAGGTCCTACTGTATAGCACAGAGAACTATATTTAGTATCCTATGATACAATGGATAAGAATATAAAAAGAATGATGGAAAAGGATATAAAAAAGAATATATATGTGTATACATACATATATATACATACATACATATATACATACATACATACATATATATATATATATATATATATAAGGTTTTCCCAGTAGTCATGTATGGATGTGAGAGTTGGACTACAAAGAAAGCTGAGCGCTGAAGAACTGATGTTTTTGAACTGTGGTGTTGGAGAAGACTCTTGAGAGTCCCTTGGACTGCAAGGAGATCCAAACAGTCAGTCCTAAAGGAAAAAATCAGTCCTGAATATTCATTGGAAGGACTGACACTGAAGCTGAAACTCCAATACTTTGGCCACCTGATGCGAAGAACTGACTCACTGGAAAAGACCCTGATGCTGGGAAAGATTGAAGGCAGGAGAAGAAGGGGACGACAGAGGATGAGTTGGTTGGATGGCATCACCGACTCGATGGACATGAGTTTGAGTAAACTCTGGTAGTTGGTGATGGACAGGGAAGTCTGGCGTGCTGCAGTCCATGGGGTCGCAAAGAGTTGGACATGACTGAGCAACTGAACTGAACTGAACTGAATCACTTTGCTTCACAGCAGAAATGAACACACTGTAAATCAACTATACCTCAATAAAAAATGTTTTTATGTTTGCACATAAGCCTGTCCATCTTTTCCTTGTGATTTCTTCCATTTTTCTCTAATCTCAGAAGATCATTCACACATCTAATGGTTAATTTTCTGTTGGATTCAAGAACTGATGGCAATCTCTGAGCTGTTTTGTCACTTTTTAATTACAAAGAAGAGAAGGGAATTACTTCCTTTACTTTTTTCTTTCTTGTTTCCATATATTTTGACTTTCCTTGACTTACTTTTTTAGTACCTTGAAATATGCTCATTGAAGATGGGGGCTCATTGGAGATGGGGGCTATAGGAGGTAATGGGTATATGTATACACATTATAAAAAGTCTGGAAGAGTACGTAACAAAACATATTAACTGATTTTTTTTTTCTGACTGATGGGAGCAGGGTTGGGATGGATTTTGGTTCTGCCCAGCACTGCTATTCCTTTGGGCAATATAGCCGTCTTCATTCCGTGTGACTCTGGTGGGGGTGCCCATGACAGTACATTTACCCTGTATAGTACCTTATTCCTCTGCCAGCAGGTTCAGGGGTAAAAGCACAGGCATGTCAGTTCAGCAGAGCCCATCACAGTCCTTCCCTGAAACTGATACATGAAACTGGGTGTAGCTTCTCTTTTGCTGGGTTCAGTTGGAAAGCTGGGGCTCTCACACCATGCTTGTTGCCAGGTAGAGGAGATCACTCTGCAGAGGAAAGGAAACCGAAGTGAAAAGAAAAATCAAGACAAGGAGAGATGAGAGGAAGCAAATCCTACAAGTACTGTGTCTCCACTTCCAGGCTGACGCTGAGCCATGGTGTTCTTCCTTCAGTCTTGCCTCAGCTATGTTAAGCCCCAGGTATCTCTCTGGTGAAGCTGGCTTAATTGGGTATTCTGTCACTTGACAAGTTAAAGAATCTAACCAGTGGAAAGGAGATGTGGGGGAAGGAAATTGCCCCTTAGCCCCTTATTCCCAGACAAATCAGGTCCCTTCTCTGAGCCTCTGTTTATACTAAAGTAAAAGTAAATTTTAGCTGTCATATTTTAAATCCCAATGGTATTCCAGGCACTTCACATTCATCAGCTCATAGAATTCTCGGGAGCACTCTGAGTCAGTCATCAATATTCCCATATTCCAAATGAGGAAACTGAGACTCAGGGAGACAAAGTGTGACCCAGGTAAGTTGTCCTAGAAACCTCAGCCATCTTCCTCTCTCACCCATAAAACAGGCATAACAAACTGACTACCCTAGAACACAGTCTTTAGGATAAGAGAGGGAAAAGCCAGTTGAAACTGACTTGGGGGTAAGCCTCGTCCTTTCCCCATAGCTGAGACAGTAAGGAATCTGCCTGCAATGCAGGAGACTGGCTTCCATCCCTGGGTGGGGAAGATCCCCCGGAGAAGAGAATGGCTACCAAGTTCAGTATTCTTTGGAGAATTCCATGGACAGAGGAACCTGGCGGGCTACAAATGATGGTGTCAGAAAGAGTCGACACGATTGACTGAGCGACTAACGCACAACTCCCTATTTCCAGATGGAAAAAGCGGGAATTCAAAAGTTGGGGGCAGCACTCGGTCGTGATGGAGGTGGAGTCGGGGGCCCTCAGGCTGGCTCCTCTGGCTGGCTCCAGTCCAGGCCCACCCCGACTTCCTGGGAGTCGCTCCTCCCCGCCCCACCGTCTTCCCAAGGAAGGCCTTGCACAGGATGACGTTAGTCAGGTCCTCTGGCCCCCTGCCTGCCGGCCCGGAGCGGTTTCGGGCTTCCCCTCCCCAACCTGGCCCAGAGCCACGGGCCCCAGGCGCCGGCCCCGTCACGTGACCCTCCTTGGCCGACTTCCCCCCGGATCCAGATTTAACTCTCCCTCCTCCCCCTCCCCTCCCCGCCCCAGGCCCTCCGGGCACCACACCTGTTCTGCCTGGCAGGTGTAGGGAATTAGAGCATCAGCTCTTCCTCAGAGAGGGACCTTCTAGTTTTCCCGCCAGTAGAATGCGGCCCCCACCCTACGGCTGCCTCTCCTCCCTTCATTGCTTACTTTTGCGCTGGCCTTAGCCTGCGGCCCCATTCCTCCACCCCCATCAGTCTCCCAAGCCCTTCCCAGGGACTAATTCCCGGGGCGGGGAGGGGAGGGGGACAGAGCTCAGCCCTAAGGAAGCTCACAGAACTGGTCTCAAAGAAACTTCGAGACAGGGTGAAAACGGTCAGCTTCCGTTTCGGAAGACGGCAGACTCGGGTTCGAATTCAACTCTGCTTCTGACCAATTGCTGATGCTGAACCCTTCATCTCTCTGTGCCTCAGTGGTTCCTTTTGCGAAATCTGGACCCCGCCGGGAGACGAAAGAGAACGAGTCCAGCGGCTGCGCTGACTGAGCCGAGGGGCTCCGCGCCCCGCGCCCCGGGCGCCCCTTCCCCAGCCCCGGAGCGGGGCCTCACCTCCCCAGTCCCTCCGCCGCAGGCTCCTCCTCCACTGACATCAGAGCCGCAGGCGGGCGGAGGGAGCCAGCGGAGTCCGAACCGAGCCCCAGCGAGAGAGCGGGCTGGCGGGCCAGGCGCGCAGCAGCGGCGGACGGCGGCCGGAGCTCGGCCCCAGCCAAGTCGGGCCTCCCAGCCAGCCCCGCGGCGGGGCAGCCGCAGGTACCGCCCGGGAGCCGCCCCGCCCACGACCGTGGGCGCCGGAGGGCGGCGGGACCCCCCATCCTCTGGGTACCTTCTCCCAAGGATGGGAGGGCTTGCCTGGGCGTGCTGGACTCTACTTGGGCAGGGTAGGGCCTTTCTCCCCCAGCTCTGTCCCAGGCCCAGCAGGTGCCAGGTGGCCAGTGGGAAACTGAGCGGGTAAAAGAGGAAGGTGAGGAGGGATGTGTGTGTATGTGTCTGCCTTCAGCTTCAGCTGGGCCTGAGTGTGGAAGGACTGGGCATTTGGAGGTATAGATGTGTGGCAGCCGTATTGGGGTGTGCGAATGTCTTAGCATAGGCAAGTGGATCAAATGTGAAGTTGCAGGCATGTCCGTGTGTAAGGGTATCCGTCTGGGTGGGGATGTCTGGGAATCCGTGTTTTTGTTGCAGACTGTATCCAACTGCTGTGTGTGCTGGAGTCTGGCTCAAAGGGTAGTAAGTCAGAGTTGGGGGGTATATAGTTGTGTCCTGAGGATGTTTGGAGTTAGATGTATAAGGATTTGGAGTTTAAGAGCTTCTAGCGTGTATAGGAGGGCTTCTGTGGTGGCTTAGTGGTAAAGAATTCGCCTGCCAAGCAGGAGACACAGGATCGATCCCCGGGTGGGGAAGATCCCCTGGAGGAGGAAATGGCAACCCACTCAAGTATTCTTGCCTGGGAAATCCCATGGAGAGAGGAGCCTGGTGGGCTATAGTCCATGGGGTCGCGAGACTCAGACATGATTTGAGCCACTGAATGGGGTGTACAGGAGCTGCAGGATGACAGGTGTGAGGAATCCAGGATGTCTGGTATACAGGTGAGGTAGGTATGTGTGTGTGTATCTGTTCTGTCTGGTGTCATCTTGTCCTGGTGTGTGTGGATGTGTTTTGGGGTGTGGGAGAGATGTCTGGGTGTGAGGGTGTCTGGGGGAGTGAGTTTATGTGGGCTGATGTCTGGGTGTACATGTGTGATCAGAGACTCATTTGGAGATGGAGTGTGCGGATCTGGGGGCAGGCGTCTGGTTTCAGGGTTGTGGGTGGGTCTTGGTGCAGGGATATGTGTGGAACTGTGAGGTTTTCTTTTTTTCACCAGGCCTCCAGATGGATTTTAAAATTCTGCCCTCTGGAGCTTACCATCAAGTCTCCTTTCCTAGAAGTTTCTGCCCCTGGGATGGGTGGTCAGGCCCCTCGGGAATGAAGTCCCATCCAAAGAGTGGAATCTCACACCATGGGCTCTAGTTAGGGCACCTTCCCCTCTTTTTCCAGCAGAAGAAACAGAGAAGGAAAGTGCCCTCCCTGAGGTCACACAGCACACTGGGCTGTGTTTTGACCTCCCTTTCCGTGGGCTTATGATGGGATTGAGAGGCTGTGTTTTCTGGGTGGGTCCTAGTCTGGCTGCAGTGCCCTCCAAGGCTTTTGCTTTCAGCGAGCTTAGCTGGGGCCTCATTGGGCAGCTATCCATCTCCAACCAAATCCTATCTATCTCCAACTTCAGCTCCCCATTCTCCGTCTGATAACTGGGGAGAGAGTGCTCACCTGCTACTGCTGGTTGTGACAGAGGTCTCAACAGAGTAAAGTATAGGCTGGATCAGGGTGAGATGAAGCCAGTAGGGGACAGGTTGCGGGGGACCCTTTCTCAGGCTACTGGGACCCAGATGGGGAGTCAGGACTGGGAGGGGTAACAGGAGGCCTGGGTGGCTCCAGCTGTGCCTGCTGTTGCTGTGGTAACAGCAGAAGGAGCTATTTAAAAACGTGGCTGAGATATTGCTGGGAGCCCAGGCTGCCGGAAACCTGATTTCCGAGAGGCTTGGCAAGGGAGGAGGGAGAGGAGACACCCCAGCAATTCCCGGGGTGGGGCAGTGACATCGCTGGTTCTGAGGACAGGGGGATCCTCCGGGGCTGTGTCTCTACAGATTGTTCTGGGGTCTTCTTTGGTGTCCTCTTAGAGTTCAGTGTCCCCTCGTCTGTTTGGATTTAGAGAGGGAGAAATTGGGAGGTGAGCTGAATGAATGAATGAGTGACTTTATTGAACAAAGAATTTTGCTGCCACCTGAAGGACGTTCCTCTCGGCTTAAGGATATAATGAATGGATGTTGCTGAATGAACCCATGGCCTGTGAATGAATGTTGGATGATTTTGTCAAATGAGTGAATCAAGGAATGAATAAATGTGTGCTCAATGGGGCCCTCACTAAGTTCCCACAAGGAAGTCTGAGCCCTGCTGAGCCTTCTTCCGTTCCCTTTCCCAGGAGCCCTGGCTGTGGCCAGGGGGCAGTGGGCCATGCCGGGGGCAGTGGAAGGCCCCAGCTGGAAGCAGGCGGAGGACATTAGAGACATTTACGACTTCCGCGATGTTCTGGGAACGTGAGTCTCAGAGGCAGGAGAGAAGGGGGAGCTGTCCCTGAGCTGGAGGGTGGGGTGGGGAAGGTCCTCACTCTGGGCCTGGCTGGCTGGGGAGGCTGGGTCCAGGGTGGTGCTTCCTCTGGCCACTTGATCTCTGCTTCCTGTTTCCTACAGCCCAGGCTCTGTGGTGGCCTTGTATGGCCCGAGTGGCCCAGAGTTTTCACTTCTGGCTAACGGGGTAGAACAGAGGCTGCTCTTGCTCTGGGTCCCTGTGACAAGAAGAAAGTAGGCAAGAATGAAGGAGCCAGTTTTTTAAACTGACTGCCAAGAACTGGGGGTTCTGGCCTAGGTTTTGGAACTGAAGCTGGGCATGGCTCTGTTCTCCATGGTGAGAATCCAGAAATAACTCAAACCTGATCTCAGCCCCTCAAGTTGATCCCAAACATATGAGGGAGACAGGCCCACGGAAAATGACAACCGGGTGTGTGCTGTGTTCTAGCGAAGTTTGCAAATGAGGACTTTGTTGAACCCAGAGAGCAGTAGCTTCTGTGTGGGGAATAACTTTCTAGAGAGGGGGGCATTAGAGCTGGGAATTGATGGATGGGTAGGAGAGTACTTGTCAGACTGGGAGAAGGCATTCCAGGCAGGAGGAATAGCATAAACAAAGGCTCAGAGGTATGTTATGTGTGGAAAGAGACAGAGTCTGGTGGAGCTTATAATCAGAGGCTGGGGGGAGGAGTGGAAGACACTGAGGAAAAGAGAGGAACAGGTCAGGTAAGGCCTCAAAGCCAAGCTATAGAGGCTGGAATTAATCTCATGAGCCACAGGATAACATTTAAGACTTTGGCAGATTTGCAATTCCGGATGGTCATTCTGGCCACAGTAGAGAGGGTACATTGAAGAGGGACAAGACTGAAGCCAGCAATGAGGCTGTCATAGTCACTAGTTAGTCGATGATTGAGTTTTCACCATGAGATGCTGTTCATTGACTGACTTCTTGTCCCAGGAAAAGCAAATAGTTCTAGAGAGCACTAGTCAACACTTATTCGTTAACCAGTGAACTTTAGTGAAAATGAGTATGCTCCTTTCTAAGTCTCTTCAAAAGCACTGCTTCTCAAACTTCAGTGAGTATACACATCATCTCTTGTTCAGTCTCTGTCCAATTCTTTGTGATCCTATGGACTGTGTGTAGCCTGCCAGGCTCCTCTGTCCTCCACTATCTCCTGGAGTTTGCTCAAATTCATCTCCATTGAGTTGGTGATGTTGCTGAACCATCTCATCCTCTGCTGCCCCCTTCTCCTTTTGCCTTCAATCCTTCTCAGCATCAGGGTCTTTTCCAATGAGTTGGCTCTTCGCATCAGGTGGCCTAAGTATTGGATCTGGTTAAAATGCAGCTTCTGATTTTAGTAGGTCTAAGGTGGGGCCCAAGATTCCACAGTTCTGAAAAGCTACCAGGTGATGCTGATGTTCTTCATGGTTCTAAAGGGTGTTAAATAAGCCATGACTCAAATTGGTTTTTTGCAGAAAAAGGAATGAATCAGTCATGCACATAATCAAAAAGCCTAGGGGGTAAACTTCAGGTATGGGATACAGGGGCTCACATGATGTTATCAGGAAACTGTCTTTGACTGTTTCTTAGCTCTGATTTCCTTTGTGTTGGCTTCATTCTCAAGCAGGCTCTCCCCAAGTGCTGGCAAAGATGACTACCATTAGCTCCAGGCTTACATCCTACCAACTTAGCAGAAAAGAACACCTCATTCTCAAAGTGCCAGCAACCTGGCTTACATCACAGGACCCAGTTACTGTGGCCAGGGGATAGACAACTCTCATTGGCTAGGCTGGGGCACCTCTGGCACCAGAGAGGTGAATGGGTGATAGAGGGAGGCTCGTTCCACCTCCTTGTCCTGGGGATGGTCACGAAACCCATAGCGGGATGGAGGAGAGGCTGGAGGGAAGCTGAGGTTCCAGTTCTCCATCTCATGAATCCCCTCTCCCTGCAGAGGAGCCTTCTCTGAGGTCATCCTGGCAGAAGATAAGAGGACTCAGAAGCTAGTGGCCATCAAATGTATCGCCAAGAAGGCTCTGGAGGGCAAGGAGGGCAGCATGGAGAACGAGATCGCTGTCCTACACAAGTGCGTGGAGCATATTCTGTCCCTGCCCTGGGTCAACCCTGTCTTGAACTGTCCCACTCCCCTCCTCTCTCTGCTTTGGGCAAATCACCTAACCTCTCTGAGCCTCAAACTGCTCATTTGTAAATGGGGGTAATTATCTCCACTTGGTAGGATGTGGGGAGCATTAGAGGTCCTTTACTTCAAGTGCCTGGCACGAGAGCAAACATGACAGATGTGATTAAGATGCCACTGCTTCTTTACAATGGTTTAATGTCCAGTCAGATCTAAAGGTCAATCCTTGAACATGTCTTGAACCCATGTATTTCTGCTGATGCTATCTCTAGACCTACCTCAAGTTGCCCCACATATTACACCACCTCACAAGTTTAAAAACACTCATCTGCTGATGCCCTGACAACAACCAGATGGTGTCTGAACTGCTCATGCTGATGGGAAACTTGCTGTTCTCACTGGAAAGCTCATTTAGAATCTCCACTTCCAGCTCCCGACCTGAGCTTTCCTACCACCCTGAGCAGGGACAAAATAATCATTTCCACCACTGGGTTGGGAAGACTGAGGCCCAGAGAGGACAAA